TTGACTGAATTTATTTTTGTGTTCTGCCCTGTTAAAGCCTTAAATGGTCTAGGGCCAGGATTCTCGAAAGACTACAAGGATCCAGAGCCCTTCAACATGACTATTCCCCTCCAACACACACTTTTGTTTGTGCCTCTTTATATACTTCCGCCTACTGAACGTTACACTTTATGTATCTGACAAAGTGTTGAGCCTGTGGAAACTTCTAGAATTCTGAGAACAGGTAGTAGGCACCATAACAAAATGGCTGCCATGTGAGAGGATGTGGGACTGGTTGCAAAACAGCTGCCATGAGGACTGGGTCCAAGCATGTAATAATCGAAGTACATGAAATGACACAAAGTTTTTGTTTTAAATAATATTTCTGGAAATCAGCTTCTTCCAAACCCTCCCGGGAGGGGGGAACACTACCATCTAGAAGTCTCACCTTCTTTCCCATTTCAGATGTGGGTGCGAAAGTCTTTCTTTGAGACACAGCTCCATAGCAGCTGCATTCTGATATCTATGGCTGACTTCATAAGAGATTTACAAGTTCCTTCATAAGAGATTCACAAGTTCAGAACACCCAGAGCCCAGAGGGTCTTACCCAGAGAACTGAGGGCCTCGTGCTTTTTCCGCATGACATCCATCTTAAGACCAAAGTCCTGCATCGCCTGAAACACATGGGGGTCTTGCCTGAGAGGGAAATCAGAATACAGAGTGTGTCTAGTGTGGTCGTCGTCTTTTTGTGAAGTATGATCCTACCCAAGCTCACATCAAATCAAATGCAATATGAAAAATACATCATCTCATTCCAGATGTCAACAATATCCCATACTGGCCTTTCCCCCTCTTAGGGCTGCCATCCTCCAGGTGTCCGTTGGAGATCTCCTGCTATTACAACTGATCTCCAGGCAACAGAGATCATCTCACCTGGAGAAAATGGCTGCTTTGGAAGGTGGACTCCATAGCATTGTACCCCATTGAAGTCCCTCCCCTCCCCAAACCCTGCTCTCCTCAGACTCCACCCCCCAAATCTCTAGGGGGTTGGACTAGATGATCTGTATGGCCCCTTCCAACTCTATGATTCTATACTGTGTAGTATACAGATTCTGTTTTGTGAGGCTCTCTGGGCCTGTGGAGCATCCTCTATTGTATCAAAAAGCACTCTTTTCAATAAAGATTTTTGGAACCTGAGGAGAGAGATATCAACAATGCCCCTCTAAGCTTGTGCATGGTGCCTCTCTCTCTCATCAGTTACCAACCGCTGCCATCTCTCATATATCTTGAATTTTGACAGAGGTAAAAGGTAAAGGTAAAGGTTCCCTTGCTCGAAAGCCAGTCGAATCCGACTCTAGGGTTGCGGTGCTCATCTCCGTTTCAAAGCCGAAGAGCCAGCGCTGTCCGAAGACGTTTCCGTGGTCATGTGGCCGGCATGACTAAACACCAAGGCGCACAGAACGCTGTTACCTTCCCACCGAAGTGGTACCTATTTATCTACTTGCAATTTCTTGCTTTCGAACTGCTAGGTTGGCAGGAGCTGGAACTAGAGACGGGAGCTCACCCCGTCTTGCGGCACCCGGGTCTTGAACTGCTGCACTACTGACCTTCCACAGCCTGCAGTTCAGCGTCTTAACCACTTGAGCCACCGCAGAGGTATTTCCTCCTAAATGGGAGCAACGGACATCACACATACAAAATAATACCTTTGTGCTTGGGGAGTAACTTAATCTGCAGTAACTCTTATTCCCTGACCTGGATAGCCCAAGCTAGCCTGATCTCATCAGATCTCAGAAGCTAAGCAAAGTTGTCTAGTATTTGGATGGGAGGCTACCAAGGAATACCAGGGTCATGACACCCTAACCCTAACCCTAACCCTAAACCACCTCTGAACTACTCTTGCCTTGAAAACCCTATGGGGTCACCATAGGTCAGTTGTGACTTGACAGCAAAAAAACAACAACACAAAAACTAAATCCCACTAAATCACTAACAGAGAGGAGAATCCCTGCTTCATCCAGACATCCATCCATCTGTCCGTCCGTCCGTCTGTCTAATTAGAAGGGGGAGGAGTCTAACAGGATGACTAACAAAGATTAAGGGATAACAAATCTCTGTCAAATGGTCTTTCATATCATAAAGACATGAAAGGTATGAGATCTTGGATGAGTGGGTTCAGGATATTACTGAGTGGAGATGAGGGTTTCCACCCCATCCTGACAGAAGGGGGCCCACAGCCCAGGTGGGGGAAGAGCCCTAATGAGTTTTTAATTTCTAATGGGGGAGATGCAGGATTCATTTACCTGTTTTGAAGTTACCTCGCCCCTTCTTCCCACAGTGTACTGCCAGGTACCTGCAGATACTCGGTGACATTACCAACCTCAAGGCTGGGCCTGAAGTTCTCCCAGAATTGCAAGTGATCTCCCGGCTACAGAGTTCTGTTCATGGAGAGGAAACAGCAGCTTCAGAGAATGGAGTCTATGGCATCACAAACTGAAAGCCAGTTTGGTGTAGTGGTGAAGAGCGTGGACTCTGGGGGAACTGGGTTTGATTCCCCACTCTTCCACATGCAGCCACTGGTGTGACCTTGGGTCAGTCACAAGTTCTTTCAGAGCTGCTCTCTCAAGAGCTCTCTCAGCCCCACCTACCTCACAGGGTGACTGTTGTGGGGAGGGGAAGGAGATTGTAAGCTGCTCTGAGACTCCCTCGGTAGTGATGGGAGGGGTATAAAACTAATCTCTTCTTCCCACTGAGTTCCCTTCCCCAGGAACTGCCTCCAGATCTCAAGGAATTTAGCAAGCTGGAGTTGGTAACCCCTGGTGATGAGAGAAAAAATGCAGTACTCTGCGCTTGCTCAGAGGGTTGTATTTCTTAAGCATTACTTTGGATTGAGCAAGGGCTGTGAAAAAAAGCTGCCAGTTCATGGGGAACCTTGGGAAAACCGGTAGCTCTCTGCATTGAATAATCACAGCTGGAGAGGGTGGAAGTCCGGACTCCGTTCCTCAATGTGCGCTGCCTATGCATATACACGCACGCACACACCCATCCCTTTAGAGTGCAGAGGAGATGCCCATGCATACACATGCAGAATGGGGACAGCTTCCCTGCCCACCTTTCACGTCTTTGCCATCTTCCACTTGAGCAAGGCACCCTCCAGAAGCTTCCCTTCCAACCTCACCCTCTGCTCAAAGCTGGGCTGAAGCGGCACCCACTTGCTCCAGCAGCAGGGGGCACCCGGACCTGGATCCCGCTCAAGAAAGGGATGTAGGCATGGTGATGACGGGAGGAGGGACGGGCGCGCGGGGGAGCGGATAAAGGAATGGAGACATCTGCCGCCCAGGCTTGCCACTGTGCAGCCACTCTGGGCCACATACAAGGACAAGGCACGCATTGCTCCATGGTTTTAACCCTTTCCTTTTCTACCAGAAAAATGTCTTCGTGCCATGAACGACCGTTTCCTTGTTTGAAGGAAGGGCTCTGCTGTCAGGGTTCATGTCACTTTAGAGTTCCGGGCTTCATGGCAGGCTGAAAACCAACTGGTGATTTTTTCCCCTTATCACTGCCTCTTCATTAATGAGAGCTATGCCAGTTAAATTAGTTTAGACAAGGGGGAGAGCCAGTGGGATGTAGTGGGTTAGAGTGATCATACTTGATTTGGGAGACTCAGGTTCGAGTCTCCAGTCTGCCACTGAAGCCCCCTTGGTGACTTTGGGTCAGTCACACACTCTCAGCCTAACCTACCCCACCGGGTTGTGAGGATAAAGAAGAGAAGGATGAAAACCAAGGGGAACAGTGGGGTATGAATGTACTAAATTTTTAAAAAGTGGTGGTGGTGGAACTGGATCCAAACGGCTCTTGTGACTTTAAGAGTTCCAGAGAAAGGAGAATTCTACCAGATGCAGCTTCTCCCATCAGAATTTGATGGAAAGCAATATTGGCTTACAAATTCTCTCCTGTGCAATTCTGAAACAGGAAACATGGCAACTCTAGTGTACTGTCAGTGCAGACACCTCAGCATTTGTGCCAAATAAATGTTTTGTTTTTTTAAGTCCTATGGATTGTGCTGAAATAAGAATGATTCTGTATGCTCTCATACTCACCAATATCTCACAGAGGAAAACAGATGTAGAATCATAGAAACATAGAATCACAGTTGGAAGGGACCTCCAGGGTCATCTAGTCCAACCCCTGCACACTGCAGGAAATTCACAAATATCTCCCCCTCCACACCTGCAGTGATCCCTGTTCCATGCCCAGAAGATGACAAAAACCCTCCAGGATCCCTGGCCAAACCGGCCGGGAGAAAAATTGCTTCCTGGCCCCAAAGTGGCAATCAGCATTTCCCTGGGCGTGTAAGAAAGGGCCACAAGAACTAACCGAGGCAACCCGTTCTGCCCTCCCTCTCATGATGATGATGAAGAAGAGATTGGATTTATACCCCGCCCTTCACTTGGAGTCTCAGAGCGGCTTACAAGCTCCTTTCCCTTCCCCTCCCCACAACAGACCCCCTGTGAGGTGGGTGGGGCTGAGAGAGCTCTGACACACACTGCTCTTTTTCAAGGACAGCTGTGCCAGAGCTTGTGACTGACCCAAGGTCACATCAGCAGGTGCAAGTGGAGGAGTGGGGAACCAAACCCAGTTCTCCCAGATTAGAGTCCACGCACTTAACCACTACACCAAACTGGCTCTCTGCCTAAGTTCACACAATTGCTGTTTACAGGGCTCTGTTTTAGGCATTCCACAGGGGTGGTGGTGGCTTCCCAGCACACCTTTCCTCATTGGAAGGGCCTAATACTCAGTAGAAGAGTATAAGTGCTTAACAAGCCACCACGCTGGATACGACCAACGGTCCATCCAGTCCAGCATCCTTACACAATGACCAATCAGATGCCCTGGGAGGGCCTACAAGCATAGCATGGTGGCCAAAGCCGCCCCTTATTACTATACCCCAAGCCTGGTCATTCTGAGGTATACTGCCTATGAACATGGAGGTTCTAATGGCTAAATAGCCATTTATAGGCTCTCCTCCAGAAACTATTCTACTCCCCTTTTAAAGCCAAATAATAAAGTAGTGGCCATTGCTACATCCTTTGGCAGTGAATTCCATGTTAATTACTCTTTGAATGGGAAAAAAAAAATCATTATTATGGTTTGACTACAGAAAGTCCCAGTTCCTCATTTCAGAATAATAGCACATGCCCCCTACCCTTTTTTTGTACCTGCATATTTTTTTCTCTCATGTTGAGAGCTCCCATCCAAACTGAAGTTTCACTTCCTTCCTTTACCAGGAGCTTCAGCATCATACTGATACACACAAAAAAATTGTGAAACCTTCCATGACATCACAGCGACTTAGCCAATGGTGGTAGACAGCATGCAAATAGGAAGACAGACAATTTTAGCCTATAAAAAGGGAGTCGTGCGACACCTTAAAGTGTAAATGTGTCATAAACTCAGTAAGTTAGATGAGCGGCACTTCATTGTCGATGAGCAGGTATTCAATCAGGCAATGGAAAAGGAAGGATTATGTAACAACAGCTTAATTTTGTCCTGCTTGATGCTCCAGCTACCTCTATGCCTATCCCTCTAATCAGATATATTTTCCTAATGGTCCCCTTTGTAGGAAATTAATGCCTGGGTGCCAGAAAAGACAGTTACACAATTAACAGTGCAATCATAAACAGAGTTACACTCTTCTAAGTTCATTGCAGTCAAATGATTTAGAAGGGTGTACCTCTGCCTGCGGTGGCTCAAGTGGTTAAGACGCTGAACTGCAGGCTGTGGAAGGTCGGTAGTTCAGCAGTTCAAGACCCGAGTTGCCACATGACGGAGTGAGCTCCCGTCTCTAGTTCCAGCTCCTGCCAACCTAGCAGTTCGAAAGCAAGAAATTGCAAGTAGATAAATAGGTACCACTTCAGTGGGAAGGTAGCAGCGTTCCGTGTGCCTTGGTGTTTAGTCATGCTGGCCACATGACCACAGAAATGTCTTCGGACAGCGCTGGCTCTTCGGCTTTGAAACGGAGTTGAGCACCGCAACCCTAGAGTCGGATTCGACTGGCTTTAGAGCAAGGGAACCTTTACCTTTACCTTTACCTCTGCCTAGGAATGCACTATACAACTGGAACTGAGTTGCCACTCGCTCCGCTGGAAGGCTAGTATGGCTTTTTTCCTTAGGAAACAGTGGAAACAGAGGAGAAATGCAAAGCCAGATGGTGGCCTGAATTGCAGTCATGTTCCTGAAAGTAGTGTTTATTATTTATTTATTTATTCATTCATTTAATTTATATCCCGCCCTCCCTGCCAAGGCAGGCTCAGTGGACCACAGAGAATATTTCTATTCCCTTCTTAATGTGCCTACCAGTTTTTGAGAGTTGTTCCCACCCAGGCAGCCTTTACCATTTCTCCTGCCTAGCATATATTTTTTTCCAGAAGCAAATACAGCAATGGCTTCACCAGCTGCTGATTAAAAATAACCACACAGCAACACATACATGCACCTCTTTGAACTTTAATACACTTTGAATGAAGCCACGGGGATTACAGGGTAAGGTTTTAATGAGAGATCGGTGGACGATGAATTCTAAATGCCTGCTGATCAGAGAAGTTGGGAAGGAAGAGCACCTAAAACGACTAAGGGTTCTTGTAACTGGGGTAAGTGACCTATCTAAAGGCATCTAGACTACTGAAAACAAAACAGACTTCCCCCTTAGGGCTTGAGCTTTGCTAGTCCAGATCCAGTGGCAGTAACAATAGATATGCTGTCCATCCATAACCAAGTAAGCCTGCCTGTTCCAGCTGGGAGATCCTGCTTAAAAGAGCAGACAGAGCGACAGCCAGTGACATTCTAAGCAGAGTTACACACTTCTAAGTCCACTTAAGTCAACGGGTTGGATCCAGATTTCTACAGATTCCCTTTTTCCCACTGCAGACCCCCCGACATCATTCCTCATGGTCCTCTACCCCCCATAAATAACAATTTGAGGAGATCTGTGGGCTGTAGTGGAAAGGGGGAGCAGGAAGGAAGGAAAGGCCTGTTTAGCTGATGGAAAACACAGCCTGGCTCCAATCCCTTGGGCTTCGTAGGGTATAACTCTGCTGAGGACTGCATTGTGCATCTCCCAAGCTGTTCCTCCACTAGTTTTTGGATCCATTCTTCTCTCTCACCTGCTGAGGTGAGGCTGGACTTACTGTCTCAGATGTAGAAGGAACACAGGCAAAGGAACCGATGGAAGAACAGAGGTGGAAATGCTATAGTTGCCTCCTCCCCTGCTTCCTTGGCTCAAATAGGATTGTGCCACTCAGCAGAGGACAAAAATGTTACAATTATGTATTGTTTTTATATCCCACTTCCCATTTAAAATCACGGCTCCTGCAGTCTGTTACAGTCATGAAAGCCTCTAAAATAATCAACAGTTACTGTAAAAAAAAAAGATTAAAAATAGCAAAACAGAACTGAGTGGCAACGAAGCAAATGAAAATATGCACAAAATGGCAGATCACCGCTGCGGGGGAAGAAAGCGATGCTGGCATTCACCACCTTCACTGAGTTACACAAAACTTTCCTCGTTGGAGTGGTACAGCGGGGCTGGGGTCACTCCAAAGGAGAAGGTAAAAGGTAAAATGCCGCCAGTGATGGCATGGACACTGTCCAATAGGCATCTGTGACAATGACACAATGATATTTCAAACAGCCCTCTTAATTGCTAGCTATAAGAACATATTCCCAGTCACAATATATTGGGGTTTAATTGCTTGGCAAATGCAATATCCCCAAGCAGAAGTGCTTTCTGGAGAGAACATGACCAGATCTCATGCAACATGTGAGCATCAGCTCTTGCAATCCAGAAAATCCCTAACTCCACAGTAGAGGGAGAGGGGATGGCATTCCACCTTACACACGCATACCCCAAGTTAATGGTGCCCTGAGCCTCCCACGTATCTCCATCAGGCTCTTAAAAAGTAAAATGACAGTCTCCTCTTTTGGTCTCCAGCCAGAGTCCCTCCACTGAACAGGATTCTTAGAAGCTGTCAAGCAAAGGCTGGAAGGTCATAATCCAAGGGCTGGCTTGTCAAGGCACCTTTTGGGGCAAAGAAACTGTGTCCAGTCACAGTAACATCCAAGTAAATTTGATCTTTTGGGAAGTTAACCACAGTCTGTAGGTTTGGGACCCTTTGTACATCTGCTAGCCTGATCTTGTAAGATTTTGGAAGCTAAGCAGGGTCGGCCTTGGTTAGTATTTGGGTGGAAGACCTCCATGGAATATCAGGGTGTTTGTGCAGATGCAGGCAATGACAAATAATCTCTGAATGTCTCTTGCCTTGGAAACCCTTTGGGGTTGCCAAAAGTCAACTATGACTTGACAGCACTTTCTGGTACCACCACATATCTGCTGATCCCTACCATTCTTAAGGGTCTCTTAAGAGACTCCGTTGCTTAAAAAAAAAAAAGAGTCTAACGTAAATTCCACCTTTCTCACAGTTGATCTACAATAAAACATGCAAATTAAGGCAAGGTATGCACATTTGCATAAGTCTTTTTTTAAAAAACAATGTTATTATAAAATATGGTTGCTGAATTCTGGATTTTTAAAAAATGTAGTCAGTTCCTCCCTCCCTGTTGGTCTGCTTTTAATAGTGAAATAGGAACTTTTGACAGGAATCAGTGGGTGGGTTAGGGGGTCCAACCTTCACTTGTAAGATCTCTGAAGGGCCACCATATGGACTTTCTGATGGGTGCTGAGGCCTGACCTCTGGCGAAAACTTTTCCCACACTCCATGCAGCGATACGGCTTCTCCCCAGAGTGGATTCTCTGGTGGATCGTGAGGTGGGAGCTGACGCTGAAGGTCTTCCCACACTCATCACATTTATAAGGCCTCTCCCCCGTGTGGATTCTCTGGTGCAAGATGAGAGTAGAGCTCTGGCTGAACCTTTTCCCACAAACCTGGCATTCGTACGGCTTCTCTCCCGTGTGGATTCTCTGGTGCTTGGTCAGATGGGAGCTCACTGAAAAGCTCTTCCCACAATCGGTGCACTTGTAAGGTTTCTCCCCGGTGTGGATGCGGCGGTGGAGAACGAGGGTTGAGCTCTGGCTGAACCTTTTCCCGCAGTCGTTGCACGCGTATGGCTTCTCGCCCGTGTGGGTTCTCCTGTGAATGGTGAGGTGGGAGCTCACTGCAAAACTTTTCCCGCAGTCCAAACAGGGGTAGAGCTTACTGCTGGAACACTGTGCTTTCTGGGGCTGGTTAATGATATGCTGAGCTTGATTGAGGCTCTGCTGGGCTCGGTTGAGGCTCTGCTGGGCTCGGTTGAGGCTCTCCTGAGCCTGGCTGAGGCTATCCCCACACTGGACACACAAATTCTGGTGGGGCCCCATGTATACCCTGGGGGGGATGCATGGGTTGTCTTTAGGCATGGAGGGAAAAAGAGGTGGTTTGGTCCATCCCTTCCCCGCATCCTCACCTTGATGCCCAGCTGGACCCAAGTAAAGGGAGCCTTCGGACCGTCCTGGTAACTCCTTTGGTGCCTGTGTGGTCTCGGCACCTGCGTGCTGAGGATTTGGGTTCATGGTTCCAGTGTCTATCAAGGGAAAGAGAGCAAAACCAGCATAGGGACACGTTTGCTTGATTTTTTAAAAAAAGAGAGAGGTCATCTGACTGTTGAATGGATGCTTTACCTGGATGGTTTGTTGATCTAAGCCGTGCAACCCACCCAATGCCATTTGGACAGGGAGGTCAGAAACAGAAAGAAAGAAAGCTCAATTGCTGATGGTGCAACTCCAAAAATGACGTTTCCCTATGAACCAGGAAGACAAGCCCCGAGGTGCTATACCAACGGCCTATCAGTCAGACCAGGGGGTAGTGGCATCCGAGGCCAGCAGCGAGCTTCTCCTTCCTGACATTCTGTGGCTAATCACAGAATTCTGTGAGAATTCTGCCAGAGCTATTACACTGGACCACAGCCTCCAAATGTTGCGAACTCTCTGACACATACAATCGCTGCATACATCATTGTTCCCCATCTCTCCATCCTTCCCCATTAATATCTAAAAACAGTATAACCCTAAGGTTTCCATTTCTGCAGAGTTTGTAATAAAAAGGTGTTCTGATACATTTTATTGGAGGGAGTTTTGCTGGCAAAGCAGGATGAGGGCTTCTAGGTTTTACAGGAATGCTTCTACCCAGTGAAGAATTCTGTGGGACCCAAAAGCTCACAAATCCACAAACCAGCAGAAATGGCTGGCTGTTATCAGTTTGCTAATTTTGTAATTCTCTTGGGTTTCGATACAGCAATGCCTGTCTAAACTGTTTTTGGGGAGGGGGAAAAAATCAAGAAAAGGAATAAATGAAATGAAAATTCCTTACCTAGTGAAAGCAGGGTCCCATAATTGTCCTGCCCAATGTCCCTGTAGACAGGTCTCTGGCATGGGTCCAGAAGGGCCCACTGTATCTCAGCAAAATACATCAGCCACTTCTGCAGAAAGCCCCTGAAAAAATAAGTGTCCCCCGCTCAAATTTCAACACCATTCCTGTACCTAGGGTTGCCAGGTCCCCCCCCCCCGGCCACCGGTGGGGGATGCAGGGGTAGGGTTGCCAGATCCAGGCTGAGAAATTCCTGGAGATTTGGGGATGAAACCAGGGACCTCAGTGGGGCACAATGCCATACAGTCCACCCTCCAAAGCACCCATATTCTCCAGGAGAACTGATTTCTGTAGTCTGGAGATGAGCTGTCATTCTGGGGGATCCTCTGGTCCCACCTGGAGGCTGGCATCGATCCCTACCTGTATCCTGGCTCTTTCCCCTTACAGTGTGGCCTGCCTTTGCTCACCTAAACTCAAAAGGCCTTTGAACTGCCCCTCAATTCTCGGTAGCATTTCTTTTGCACTCCCCCCTCCTGGGGCCAGCAAGGCTTGTTGTGGGCGTTTCACGGCTGCAGAAATTCAACAGGTGAAGCTTTTCTTAGCATGCTGGGGGGGGGGGGAGCTTCGCCCGCTGGATCTCTACCCGGAATGCTGCTTTTAACAGACGCACAGGAGTTCTTCCGGGGAAATGGTCATCTCCTTTCCTGCTCCTTCACACCACCCCCTACCCAGCTCTCCGACCGGTTTACACCCCACCCCCGGATGGAGCGGATGACCCCCCGGGTCTGAGATCCACAAGAGGGGGGGGGGGGGGGGAGCCCGGGGGGGGGGGGGGGAGAGGACCTCGGCTGCGTCACTGCCGCGCGTGGCTCTCCGGATCGGGACCGGCGTGTGGCTGGCGAGGAAGTTGTCCGGCTATGTTTTGCTGGACTTTGGCCGGTGCCCGACGCCCCGATCGGCCAGAGTTACCTGCTGCCTCTGGCTTCAGGACTGAGTCCCTGGGGAGCCGCACGCGCACTTCGCACTCTCCTCCTTAAAAAAAATAACAACAGCAACAGCAATAAGGGAGGCTGGGGCGCTACGGGGCTGGAGCGCTCCTCCAGACGCAGGAGATCAGCCGCGCCGGCTGGGCGGCTGCAACGAAAGCCGAAGAAGCCAGAGCAACAACAAGGCTCTTGTGAGTCTGACCTGGGAAGTTCAGCCCCCAAAATCGTCAGCAGCGGCGGCGGCGAAAGAAGGGAAAATCTATGCATGGGAACCGACTCGGCCTTTTTTTCTTCTTCTTTTTTTGACAATAGCCGGAGCCCTCTAGCGGCATCGCGCCTCCCTTTTGCACGTTGCGCAAGCCGACTTCCCGGGCCAGGGCGCGGGGCCTGAGGCCGCCCAAACCGCCCGGGCTGCAAGATCGCGGCAAAGGTCCCGCGGAGCCAGCCAGAGGGCCTGCTTGCCGCTCCGGAGTGGAGCGGCGCGGGCTGGGAAGCTGGCGCGCAAGGCAGGCGGAAGGCGAAGCCGGGCCTTGTCTCCGTCCTCCAGCAGCATCTGGAACTTGGAAGGAATGCTAAGCAGGTGGATAGCGGTGGGCCCTTAAAAAGACGGAGGGAATGTTATGCCAGCGTCAGCTTTCGTGAACTGGAGCCGCCCAGTTTGCCTGAGACACACCGACTCCAGCCCACAAGAATGCAGGGTGGATTGGGAGGGTAAAGGGCCTCATCCACACAGCATCATCCTTGCTAGGGTTGCCAGCTCTGGGTTGGGAAATAACTGGAGACTCCGAGAGTGGAGCCTGGGGAGGGGAGGGGTGCAGAGTCATAGAATCCACCCTCCCAAACAGCCATTTGATCCAGGGGAAACTGCTCTCCGTTGCCTGGAGATGAGTTGTGATTCTGGGAGATCTCCAATCCTGCGCCTGGAGGTTGGCGAGCCTAATCCTTGGCTCACTCTGCATCGGTCATCCAGCGTCTAGGTTGACGCTCCGTGATCAAGCACTATGTAGTTGCAGAGTTGTTCATCATCAGGGTGCCTGGAGAATCTTGTTCGTTTGTCCTGGGACAGACTCACTCACACACAGGCATCGCAGATTGCCAGGGACAGATGCTAGAGAAACAGACAAAACAAAAAGGGGGGCTTCGGGTTGCCATGTTGGACTAGGTAGGTTTGGGGAGACCTAGGTTTCTCTGATGTCCAATGGATGTTCACGGGGTGGCCTTGGCTGGTCATTGTCTCTTGGCCTAACCTTCACGGGGTTGTTGTGAGGATAAATGGGTGAGGGAAGAAGAAGGCTGTAAGCTGGTTTGGGTCCCCTTGTTGAAAAGTGAAGCATAAAGAAATGAGAAAGACTGACAAAACATTATGCCAGCCTAAGCTTTCGTGGAATAGAACCCTACTTCATTGAAACCCCACCTTTCTCCCCCCAAAGGGGGCCTAAAGCATGGTTCTCCTCACCCCTGGGCCCCCTCCCAAAAAATACCCTAGCTACGGGGCTGGCTGTAAGCAGGTTTGGGTCCCCCTGTTGAAAAGTGAAGCATAAAGAAATGAGAAAGACTGACAAAACATTATACCAGCATATAAGCGTTCGTGGAATAGAACCCTACTTCATTGAAACCCCACCTTTCTCCCCCCAAAAGGGGCCTAAAGCATGGTTCTCCTGACCCCCATTTTATCCTCACAACAACCCTGAGAGTATGTGACTTGCCCAAGTCACCCAGCAAGCTTCCATGGCAGACACATTTGAACTGGATTTCCTAGGTCCTAGACCTAGAACAACACTCCAAAACTGCTACACCACACTGTTTATCTTGCTTCATCAGATACAGTGAGTGGTTCTTCACTAAGCGGACCTCTTATGTCAGAGGGATGAAAATACTGCAGGCTAAAGAGGCTGTGCCCTAACCTGGATAGCCCAGGCCAGACCAGCCCAGTCTTGTCAGATCTTGGAAGCGAAGCAGGGTCAGCCCTGGCTAGTATATGGACGGGAGTCCTCCAAGGAATACCAGGGTCATGACACAGAGTCAAGCAACGGCAGACCACCTCTGAACATCTCTTGCCTTGAAAACCCCATGGCATCACCAGAGGTCAGCTGCAACTTGATGCCCCCCACCAAGGCCACGAAATGCAGGACGTGCAGGGAGAAATAACATTCTGTAAAATTTAAATCTAAATAAGAAAAATACAGACACTGTGCTGTGCACATTGGGCTGGATTCAAGCCGGGTTTTCTGCTGAGGAAAATCCCTCTTTGCCAAGGATTGTTGGACCTGCATGTACTGAAGCCATACAGGACAGGGAACTGGGTGAGAGAGAGTGGAAAAGCTGGCTAGACCCAACCAAGTTTGCAATTTGAACAAAAAGTGTGTGTGTGTGTATATATATAATTTATTTATTTATATCCCCATTTTCTTCTTAGGCATTCCCAAATAGTTTATTACATTGTACTGTCCTCCTCCACTTTGTCCTCACAACCACCCTCCGCGGGTAGGTTAAACTCAGAGATTGTGATGGACCCAAGATCAGCCTGCAAGTTTCCCCAGCAGAGCGGGGATTGGTTGTCCCAGGTCCCACTCAACCACTCTAAGAACATAAAAAGAAGCCAATGTTCGATCAGGCCAATGCAACCACCCTCCGCGGGTAGGTTAAACTCAGAGATTGTGATGGACCCAAGATCAGCCTGCAAGTTTCCCCAGCAGAGCGGGGATTGGTTGTCCCAGGTCCCACTCAACCACTCTAAGAACATAAAAAGAAGCCAATGTTCGATCAGGCCAATGGCCTTCTTTCTCCACCTGCTCTATCCCATGCAGAATCTCATAAACCTCGATCATGTCACCCCTCAGCCGTCGTTTCTCCAAGCTAAAGAGCCCCAAACCTTTCTTCATGGGGAAAGTGTTCCAACCCTTTTATCATTCTAGTTGCCCTTTTCTGCACTTTTTCCAGTGCTATAATATCCTTTTTGAGGTGTGACCAGAACTGTACACAGTATTCCAAATGAGGTTGCACCGTTGATTTATACAGGGGCATTATGATACTGGCTGATCTGTTTTCAGTTCCCTTCCTAATAATCCCCAGCATAGCATT